CACCGACAGACGCGGAGGGAGACACAGACACACACACACACACACACACACACACACACACACACACACACACACACACACACACACACACACACACACACACACACACACACACACACATCCACCCTGCTTCTTGCTGTACAGTCCGCGTTTTCGACTTTTATCAACAAGCGGTCAAACAAACCTGCAGAGCTGATTGCTGGCTATCTTGACTCGTTCCTGCGCAAGGGCCTCAAGGTGTGTTGCGCCGCACTCGTTTTGCTATGCGTATGCTTTGCTCCACACACGCATACACACACATACATACATGCATACATACATACATACGCATGCGCGCACACGAACGAGCAAACCCACCAACCCATCAACCAATCAACCAACAAGCCTTCACATCCTCTGTCTTGTTTCCGCTTTCTCACCACTGACATCCATTGCACTGACGTTGGACGCTGTTCACGTGCGTGCGCGGCACCGCATCACCAGGGCAAGCGGGAGGACGAAGTCGAACGCACGTTCCAGCGCGTGCTTGATCTCTTCCGGTTTGTGCAAGGCAAGGACATGTTTGAGGCGTTTTACCAGGACAGCCTGAGCCGGCGCCTGCTGCACCAGAAGACGGCATCCACGGAATACGAGAAGCTCCTCGTCTCCAAGCTCAAGCTCGGTATGCGGCAGCGGGAAGCAAGAGTGGCATGTGGCTGTGGGTATGGCAGGGGGTGCGCTGGGTATGGATGTGTATGTATTTGGGCACATGTGTTTGTCTGCACGGAGCGTGATCTGTTCATCAACACACTTGCATTCACGCTTCGCAAACAACAACAACAACAACAACGACGACAACAACAACAACAACAACAACAACAACAACAACAACAACAACAACAACACCAGAATGTGGAGCCAACTTCACATCGCACTTGGAGGGAATGCTGAAGGACATTGACATCTCAGCTCAACTCAACGCAGACTTCAAGACTGTGCGTGTTTCCCACCTGCTCACACAAGTATTCTTGCGTGGTGTTGTGAATGGGGCCTGCTGTATGTGCGGCTGCAAGGGTGCTTTCCATTCGAGCTCCTGTAACCCTGTGATTTTGTTACTTGGGATGTTGACGACACTGCTACTGTCACGCGCGCGCGCACACACACACACACACACACACACACACTCACTCACTCACACACGCACGCACGCACGCACACAACGCAACACACACACACACACAACACACGCACACACAACACACGCACACACAACACACGCACACACAACACACGCACACACAACACACGCACTCACACACACACACACACACACATGTCAACAGCATCTGGAAGTGACTCGACAGCAGCCCAGCATGGAGCTGTATGTGAACGTTCTCACGACATCCAACTGGCCAACATACCCCAAAGTCAACGTCACCCTTCCGCCGGATGTCAGTCGCGCATATGCTACCGCCCCTGCTTGTTGCTGCTCTGCTTCTTCTTATACTTGACATCTTTGAGAAGCCCTACTCAACAACCAGGCGCCATTTTGCCACGGATTCCTCCACATGCAACCGTGTTTGATAATTCACGGCATGTCATTTCTCACAGGTTGTGCGCATGCAAGAGCTGTTCAGCCAGTTTTACTGCAACAAACACAAGAACCGCAAGCTGCAGTGGCAGCCGTCACAGGGGCAGTGCATCCTTGGCGCCTCCTTCCAACGCGTGCGGCCATTGGGTGTTTTGCTGTTGCTGTGTTCCGGTGTGCCTGTGCGCGTGTTTGTGTTCTTACTCCCGATCTGCTTCGTCGTACCTCTGTTTTGTTTCACTCGCCTGTTTGTTCTCCCACCTCACTTCACGCTGTTGTTCAAATCTTCACTACAGGGAAACAAAGAGTTGATTGTGTCCCTCTTCCAGGCCATTGTGTTGCTCCTCTTCAACGACAGCCAAAAGCTCACATGCAAGGAAATCCAGCAAGCCACAGGCATTGGTGCGTCGGGCTGGGCTGTCTTGTGCCGCGCTTGTTTTGCCACATGCGCATGTGAATTGGGTGCTCATACTCGCCTCACCACCGCCTCCTCCACCGCCCGCCAAACGCAAACGCACACAACCACGCACTTGTACGATCTCGTATGTTGCGCCACAGACATGCCCACACTCAAGCGGACGCTGCAATCGCTTGCGTGCGGGAAAATCAGAGTCCTTGCCAAGAGCCCGAAGGTAGGTGTGTGTGGGTGTGATTGGTGTGTGTGTGGGTGGGTGTGGGTGTGGGTGTGTGTGTGTGTGTGGGTGAGATTGGTGTGTGTGATTGGTGTGTGTGGGTGTATGGTTGTGTGTCTACCTGTCTGCCTGCCTATGTGTGTGTGTGTGTGCGCACGCTTGTGCTGGCCCACATTTGTGTCTGTGTTTGCATCCTGACAGTGCGCATGTGCATTTGAACCCTGATCATGCTGTGATGCGCGTGCGTGCGTGAGCAGGGCAAGGAGGTCGATGAGACGGACAAGTTTATTGTCAACTACAAGTTCTCCAACGAGAGGCGACGCGTGAAAATCAACCAAATCCAGATGAAACAGACGGTAGGAACCACGCACACTCGACGACAACGCAACCCTCACAAGAGTGTCTCATTGTTGTTCTTGCTCTTGTTCTTGTTCTTGTTGCTCTTGTTGTCACTGCTGCTGCCAGCTTGTGTGAAAACGTCATGCTGATGTCTCCCGGTCATTATTAGGCTCACCCTCGTGTCATGCCGCGATACTGTGTACATATGTGTACATGTCCATGTCTGTCCTTTGTAATGTGTCTGTGTGTCGACCAAAACTTGCAGCAAGCGGAAACCGATGCGACATCCGAGAAAGTGTTCCAGGATCGCGTGTTTGCGGTAAGCAACTCAGCACGCCTTCATCATCAACACCACCCCGCGCTCGCACACTGCACATACACATGCACTTGCACACGCACTTGCACTTGCACTTGCGCTTGCACATCTGCGCCGCTGTCACCCAACTTTCACAAGTCCCTCACCGCGTGTGCCTCGTGTTTCTTGCGAAAAGATTGATGCTGCGATTGTGCGAGTGATGAAAGCGAGAAAGACGCTGAAGCACAACTTTCTTCTCACGGAACTCTTCCAACAACTCAAGTTCCCTTGCAAGGCAAGCTTACATGTTGCCGCCGCGTCTTCGCGATGCATGCACGTACACGCAACAAACAAATACGCTCACTTGACTCACTCACTCACATTTACACACTTTACACACACTCACTCACTCACTCAACTCAACTCAACTCAACTCACTCACGCGCACAGCCGGTGGATATCAAGAAGCGAGTTGAGACGCTGATTGAGCGCGACTATTTGGAGCGTGATCCCAACGACCCGCAAACCTACAAATATCTGGCCTGACGATTCATGCACACACTCTCACACCGCCTCACTCATGTGGCCTGTTGGTTTATCTCGCTGCCAAAGACTTGTTTCGTCGATCTTCGCTGCCTTCGATGTCTCATCCCCCCGCCTCAGACTTGGTTGCTCTGAGCTGCACGTCAGCGTTGTTGGTGCACCATATGCTGCTCAGTGTGGCTGCTTGCCATGTGGTGTCATGTCACATGGTGATGTTCCTCCATTTATCAGATTAAACCATCGCAATGCACCGACTGCACGCACACGCACACGCGCAGTGTGCATGTATCGCACTGGAAGCAAAAACGAACAACGAGTGGCCAGCTGCATATCCGATTTCCTTCAAACACGCACACACACGTAGTGGACAAAACAGGACAGCCTTCCCAGAGTCAACGCAGAATGCCACCTCGGATTGGACAGGAGTCTTGTTTATGCCTTGAAATGACGTCCTCTTCCCTCAAACACCCCCCCCCCCCAACCACCCTCCATCCACACCTTTCCTGAATCAAACAATTACACTCTCAATAAAAATGAACAGGCTGCATTGTTGCACGACATTGCACATGCACATACACACATCTACACGACAATCACACAGGCACATGCACACTACAATCACACACGCGCGCGCCTTTTCACACACACACACACATGTACAAACAGACATGTGCCATATCACGCCTGGGCCGTCTTGCTCTGCACGCTACCGTCAGTCATGGACGGTGGAGAAGCGGAGCTGTGTGAGCTGCGAACCTTCTTCACCTTTGACTGCTTGCTCACCTTGAGCTTGTTGCCTCCACTACGTTCGCTGCCCGTGCTGGCGCCCGACTCCCGCCCGTTTTCGGCACTTTCCCCCCTGTCATGATGTGGGCCATCTTCCCTCTCAGCTGTCATGTTGACACCGCCATTCCTCGCACCATCGCTGTCGCCGCCGCCACCGCCGCCGCCACGGTGACGCTGTCCATTACCTCTGCCGTGCTTGTAGCTCCGTGTGCCTTCAGCCCTGCCTTCCCACATGGACACAAGCGTCGTGGCGGCATCCCGTGTGCTGCGCTGCAGCTGTGCCTCCTCATCTGTATCCTCACCACCACCGTCACCGTCACCGCCACCACTGCCACCACCACTGCCACTGCCGTTGCCACTCCCATCGTAGCCGTCATCACCATCCCCGTCGTCATCTTCGTTAAACGCGGGCTGTGCATTCTTGCGCCGAGGTCTGGTTTCAGCTCCAGACGCACCTTGGGACGTGTTGTTTCTGCCTGGTGGTGTTGTTGTTGGTGGTGATGGTGGTGGTGGTGAGTTTTCAGGATTTGCCCGAGTCTGCGGCGACCCTGTTCCGTTTGAAGAGCTGGATGGCGGCGGTGTCTCGTCCACGTGCATCTCGTTGTGTGCCGTTGGGCGCTTCTTGCAGTACAGCCGTTCATGTTTTCTTCTGTTGCTGCTGTTGTTGAAGGCAAAGTTGCAGTATTGGCACAGAAACGGTCTTTGCCCTGCATGCAAGCGTGGGGTTGAGCGCGGCATGTGGAATGGCATGCATGTGAGAGCAGGGAAGGGAGGAGGCACGCCGTACCAAGACAAGGTGGGGTGTAGGCGGTGCACAAGTCTTGGCGTGGTGTATGCAGCAGTGCAATAGGACAGCATTGCTTGCCATCACTCACACACACAAACTGAGAGAGTAACACGAGCCCACGTGGATTCCCTCCCCATCTCTACCCCCGTCTCTACCCTCAACAAGCACACATACACGCACACACGCACACACATACACACACGCACACGCACACACACGCATACACACGTGCACATGTGCGTACCTGTGTGGATGCGACGGTGACGGTGGAGGTTACTGCTGCAGCTGAAGCACTTGCCACACTTCTCGCAGGTGTACTTCTCTTTCTGTTGTGCTTGATTTGGCACGTGCATAACGGGCATAACTGCAAATGGATACTGCGCCGGCATGTATGAAGGGTGTGGCCCCGGTGCCTGCACCGTCAGGCAGAACAGTTAGCCGTCAGCACATCGGATTGCTGTCTGATTGAGACTTCAGATATGCACACGAGGGAGCACCCACGCACGCAACAATAACCCTGGCACTCGTGCGCGTGTACACATGCTCTGTCACGCACATATACATACACCTGCTCTTACACGCACACACATTCATGCATGCGCATTATCATACATGCATCCCATAAACACGCGCGTACCCATGACTCCACACATGCTAGCCACTGTTTCCAGGCATAGTGCCGTTGGCTGGGAAACGTACCACGCCAAAGAATGAGGACTGAAGCATCGCTGGGATGCTGTTGAACGTGAAAGGAATGACTGTTGGGTGGTGTGATTTGTTGCACACGTGTAATGCGATGCTGTGAGTACGTTGCGGCAACTGACAGCCAGTCTGACAACAGGCACCTCACCACACTACCCCCAAAGACGTAGAACGCAAGACGCCGCCCCCCCCCCCCTCTGCCGCTGCCGCATTCCCTTGACCAATATTGCAAAGATGCAAAGACAGGACGAAACACAAGCGTGCCACGCTTACGTCCGCCCGGCGCCGCCGTGTGCTGCTGGAAGAAGGGCGGGGCTTGCGTCTGGTCCTGAGGTACCGAAGACGAGAAAGAGCTTGGTGTTGTTGTTGGCGGTGGTGGTGTTGATGTGATGGATGAGGACTGCGGCCGATTCGAAGCTCCGGGTTGCGGGGTGGTGACACTGGTCGTGTGTTGCGCGCTGGTGGGTGCCCTGGTCGAAGGCGTCCCACTGCTCGCAAGGGCGGGTGGTTGAGACGACCCACCGTTGCCGCTGTTTGCTGGCTGTTGCTGTTGCTGGGATTGTTGCTGATGTTGTCGGAGTTGGGCCGCAATGTGACTTGGAACCTGCGACATCAGGTGTGGGTGCGCACTCAACAGGTTTGATATCTGAGTGAGGATGGCAGGGCTTCCTGCTGGTAACGTTGAGGGCGCAGTCTGTGGTTGGGACGCCCTTGCTGCAGTCGCGGTGCTGGCTGAGGTGCTGTTGCTTGAGATGCTTTGCACATACGCCTGTAGTAGTCTTGGAATAGCATGGGCGGGCTAAGCGAGTAAAGGACATGGCAGTGGTGGAGTGAGAACAGCGAAAGCCAAGGAGCCCAAGGAAAGAAGAGGAGGAGGAGGAGGCAACCACATTGAAACGAGGGTAAAGGTAAGGGTACAGCCAGGTAACCATGCAAATAAGTGAAGGGTTGCAGGCTTGCCGCAAAGTGCATGTGCACTCTGGAACAAGAGAAGAACACCATGTTGCTTCGATCGTTCCGTCGACAATGTGCCGTGCCCCTTTCATCGTGGGGGGGGGGGAGAGGAGGCTTGTGCCGAGACCATGACTTACAAGTTGAGGCGCTTGTAGAGATGACTGAGGCTGTCCTCCTCCTGTTGTATTTGAGGTGCCGGTTCCAGTGTTGTTAGCTCCCAGCGTGCCTGGGCCTTGTTGCTGCTGCTGTTGTTGCTGATCACCTTGTGGGTACATCTGCGCTAACAACTGGCGCTGGCCTTGCTGACCCGAGAAGGTGGGGGTAGATGAGGATGAGGTGGTCAGAGGGCCGGATGAGCGGGGCTGTTGATGTAAATGTGGCTGAACCGCAAACATGAGGGCCTGTAGCCAGGATGCATGGTGTGGGTGCATGAGGGTGCTTGGCGCCTGTTGCTGCTGTTCATGCACAGGCTGTTGCTGCTGCTGAACGAGGTGGCGTCCATCCTGTAGTGGAGGGGCAGTTGGTCTCGCAACACCGTATTGTTGTTGGTGTTGTTGTTGTTGTTGTTGTGCCTGAAACAAAGCATGCATGCTGAATGGAGGAGGCTGTAAAGGCTGAAGAACATGCTGTTGTGTTGCTTGCTGGTGTTGGTGTTGGTGTTGGTATTGTTGTTGTTGTGACTGCTGGGTCTGAGATCGACCTTGGCCCTGAATCAACATTGGGTGCTGGTGTTGGTTCTGTTGCAAAGCCGCAGATGCATGTTGTTGCTGTTGGTTGTGGCTGTGGTGGTGGTGGTGGCTGTGGTGGTGGTTGCCGGCAGAAAGGTGCATCATCATCTGCTGGACGCTGGGGTCCAGCTGTGGCATCACAAAGCCACTGTGCTGTTGCAGAGCAAACAAGCCCGCAAGCTGGCCGCCTGCCGTGGGTGGCGGTCGTGGTGCCGAGGTTTGTGTGGGTGGCGGCGGCTGTGGCGGATTTCGATCCATGTCTCGCGCTCTGCCGGCCCTGAGATACAAGGGGCTGAAAAAGCGAGCAGCTGGGGACTTTGTACGCGAAATGCACGGGCACACGCACGGGGTAAAGGCACAGGGGAGTGTTTGTGAGCAGAAATCTGGCTTGACCCAAACGCACGCAATAGCCACTAACAAGTGGGTCGGCGCTTGCTGCACGCAAACCAACCACCTCGGTGTTGCTGGTTGTGACTTTTGGTGGATGCAATACTTCAATCGGGCATGCGGCGTGCCTTCATGCCCGAGAGAACCTACATGAGCACAAAGCCAGCGCGTTTATTTGACAATAATAAATCAAGTCGTGAGTCGCACATCGCACGCATCACACATGTCACAACATCACACAGCACACATGAAGGTGACAGCCTCCGAGTCATAAAGAGCCTTGCGTCCTGACGCATGTGCACCCTTGCAAGCATCATCGTCCGCCTCAACGGCGCGACTGCTGTTGTCAGCACTGCCCGAGTCGCTGGTATGCTGCTCTCTGAGCGGCAGACCCACGCACATGGGGCCACTATGGTCATTACGCGTTTGTGGCGAAGCAACGCACCACACGTGGACGGCGCTCAGGAGCTCGTACGCCACGACAAGGACAAGGAAGAGGCCAAGCCACGTCACGAGCATACACAGCGGGGAGGCCAGCGTCGCAGGCAGGCTGCACTGGCCATGATAAAGCACAGTGTCTGCGCAGTGCAACCGCAATGACGCCCAGCCATGACCAGGAAGGAAGACAAGCGGCACGTTGTCTGCCTCTCCAATGCCAAGCGCGCGCAGCAAGGACAGGTCCCAGCAAAGCCCAATATCATCCGCGCCCTCAGCATGCTTCCCAAACGCGACCACGGAGATTCGGCCACCGATCCACACCTGCCAGTTGGGGGCGTGGGGGGCGGGGGTAAACAGCCGACAAGGCATGAGAGGAAGCACGAGCGCTGACACGAGTATGATGATGGACATGGTACAATCGATGCAGCAGCAGCGTGCGCGTCCAGGCACACACTGAGACAACAACAACTGAAACAACAACAACAACAACAACTGAGACGACGACAACAACAACAACAACAAACAACCAACAACAACAACCAACAACAACAACAACAACCAACAACAACTGAGACAACAATCAACTAACCAAGACCAGCCAGCATCATCATCATCAACAACAACAGCAGCAACAACAACAACTGGGACGACAACAACAACAACAACAACAACAACTGAGACGACGACAACAACAGCAACAACAACAACTGAGACGACGACAACAACAGCAACAACAACAACAACCAACAACAACAACAACAACAACAACAACAACAACAACAACAACAACAACAACAACAACAACAACAACAACAACAACAACAACAACAACAACAACAACAACAACAACAACAACTGAGGCAACAACAACCAACTAACCAAAACCAGCCAGCATCAACCACGCTTCACATAGCATACCTCAAGAGCAGGGCGTTGGCACCAAGACCGTCGGGCAGCAGCGCACTTGGAGCAAGAGGAAACACATAGCTGGCCATAGACGGCATCCGTGTCAGCATGATGACTGCCGCCTTCACGCAGCAGCGCGCACACGTCAGCCACAGACGCACCCAGGGGAAGCTGCGGACGCCAGTCCGACGAAGGCGACATGCATGTGTGCCAGCGCCCACGCCCGATCACACTGCCACCCCTGCCGTCAATGCTGTCGTCATTGCTGTTGCCACCACCGCTGCCACTGCTGTTACGACTTCTGCTGCTGCTGCTATTTCTGCTCTGGTGTTCGCTGGGGCGCGTCTCCGTCGTAGGGACACTGCCACCCGGTGGCGTGGTTGACAGCACAGTCGGTGCTGTGGTTGATGCCGGGTCCTGCACCCAGCTCGGGACAGGTGTGCTCCTGTGCTCTCGCAGCTGCCGCAACATCTCCTCGGCCGGCTGTGGAAGCAGGGCATCATTGTCTGCGCCGGGCAGCCCTGTTGCCGTCGCCGTCACCGTCGCCGTCGCCGACGTGGTGACAAACCCGCGCTCGAGCATACGCTGCTGCTGTCGAGACTGGTGGTGCTTCGCGTGCTCGTGCCCAACGGGGCCCTCCGCATTGTGCTGCTGTGTGCGCCCGTGCCTGCGCCCCTGTGGTGTGAGGTGGCCAGGGTGGCCGACTTTCGGCTGCTGCTGGCGTGGGTAGTGCTGTGGCAGGCCAGCCGCCTTGGTGAGTGCTGGCCCATTCACCACGGGGTTATTGGTGTTGTGGCGCGCAAGCAGCGAGGGAATGGGGGCGCTGTCGAAGGCGGCGTACTCGGGCGAGCTCAGGGGCAGGACTGGTTTCTGGTGTGCGATGCCGACGCGGTTGTGTTCCACATCAAAGTGGAGGACCAGGCCCTGCAGCACCGCAGCCCCCAGGATGACGCGATGGGAGGAGGAGGATACGCCAAGGCCGAGGCAGAAGATACCCCTGCCCTGCTGGTTGAGATATTGATGTCCGGACACGGTGATGGTGTACCCTTTCAGATGGATGGCGAGCGGTGGCCATTGTGTTGGATCCAACGATGCGCAGTACCCATTCCACACACTCTGTTGTATGTGGGTGCGTGTGTGCGTATGCGTGCGTGCATGCGTGCATGTGTGTGTGTGTTCGTGTGGTGGCAGCGGTGAGGGTAGCAAGAACCTGAATCGCGTGTCCAGACAAGACAAGTACAGCAACAACAGCAACCACTGAGAAAGAAACATGCATTTAGCACACACACACACACACACACACACACACACATGTATACATGCTCACTCACGCTGGGGATGGAGAGGCCATGAAGATCAAAGTGGCGCCTGAGCCCGTTAATCACCCGCTTGTACAGGTCTGCCGGCAACAGCAGAAACGTGGTACCCGTGTCAAAAATGGCGACGGTGGCGTGGTTTGCACTGAACACATCAACGTTGTCGTCCCACTCCAAAGGCCTGGTCTCCACGCCGCCTGAGCGCACGCGATGGCGCGAGGCGCGTCGGTGGCTGCTGCTGTGATAGCGGCTGGCGCGATCAGCAGCAGCGTGCGAGTGCTGGGCCCCCGTGGCGTGCGCGTGTGCGCCCATGGGTGTGAGGATGGTGACGCCGCTGAATCGAGCGGCGAGATAGATACCGTCGGCTACAAGGCGCATGTAGTGCATGTCGACACCGGAGCGCTGCCATTCGCGCCGGGAGATGTGGTGTGCTTTCTCCGTGGCCAGCCACAGATCACCTTGCGCACCACACAGCGCAAGCGCAAAGTCAGGGGTTCTGGAGGAGGTGGACTCCTGCTGTGTTGGTGAGTTGTTGCTGGCCTTGTCGCTGGCCTTGTTGTGGGTGTCTTCGTGATGCTGCTGCTGCTGTTGCTGTGCCTGTGGCGGGGACGGCGAAGATTGGTCATTGTCCTGCTGGGCAAATGCATGCATACTGGTCCGCCTCGGGTTGTACAGGAGACCCCAGATGCCGTCGTGGGCGCCCACATCGTGAAACAGGTCTGCAGATTCCGTGATTGTGGTGAAGCGTGCGCGCAACCTCGTGTCTCCAAACTGCACCACGTCCTCAGACACCACTCCAACCCAGGACCCTTTGTCGTAGCGGATGCTGTCCCTTTGTGTCGTTACATTCAAGGTACTAGACCCTGCATGCACGCACGTTTTGTGGTTGTTGTTGTTGTTGTTGTTGTTGTTGTTGGTGGTGGTGGTGGTATTGGTTTGAGTGTGAGATGGCTACTATCAAGCGTGTCGTTGCGTCTATCATTAGGCGGCAAGCAGACATTACACACGCGTGCACAGACGCAAGACCAGGCACGACATGGCGACAGCTGACCTGTAATCGGTGTCATGGCAAGGGCGGAGGACCCCGTATCCACAACAAGGCGCTTGCGTTGTGGAGGCGTGCCGACATAGGCTTCGGCCACGTATGCCACGAAGCTCTCATCACCACCGCTGGCTCGGTCCATCCGCTGTGTCCATGGCAATGCCTTGAGCTCCAGGTGCAACGCTGCCACGACAGCACGGTGGTAGAGCAGCCCACAAAGCACAGCAAGCAGCAGCGTTCGAACAGCGGCGTGGCAGCAACGCTGGCATAATCTTCTTTCCATGCTCTTGCTACATGGCATACAGCGGCTGCCTTGCAATTCAGATGCAGGCATCCTTTGTCTGGATGCGCTCAAAGTGTTTGGTTGGCTGGAAGGCTGTCGTACATGCACACCTGCGTCTTGCTCGCCTCTCTTGCCTGCCTGTCTCGCTGGCAGCAGCCTATTCAACTGGTCGAGCTGTGGCAGGTGGTCGGGAGAGTGTGATGAATACAAGATGCAGCAACAGCGAGCGAGCTCGAGACCTACAACCTGATCCTTGAGAGAGAAAAGGGAGAGAGACAAGCTGAGAGACAAGAGGGCGGGAATCCAATGATGTGCCAATGCACCTTCACCCACCAGAGAAAGTCGAGTGGAGGAACTGGGTGAGTGGCGGGCTGTGCTGGCGTGTTGTGTGTGGTTGCTGTGTTCGGGTGCGCGTTGCTTTGCTTGCATGCACAACAGACAAGAAGCAAGCAAGAAGCAAACAAACAAGCAAAAAAATACATCTTGTGGTGCAGTTCGCGGCCAATTCAGCAGCCAACGGGGGACCCTAGTGCCAAATTGGGAGTTTTGAGCACTGCTGTGGCATGCCAAGAACCGCTGTAGCTCGCGACGGCACATGTTGCAGCGCTGAATTGCACTTGCAAAGGCCCCCTCCAACCACCCGCCAACTCGCGCTTCCTTCTTGAAACGGCCATTTCCCACTGCACACCACCACCCAAAATGAGCACGACCTTGACGAGGCAATGTCCCCACGTCGCTTGCAGCTTCACTGAGGCCACCGGCAATGTCTCACGGCTGATCGACCACATCAAGGTCACACACGACCTCACCGAAATCCCATCCCTTCTGGCCTTGGTGCAAGTTGTCAACGTTGGTAGTGGTTCTGGTCCTCACCGCTGCGAGAAGTGCAACAAGACGTGCAGGTCTGTTCGACACCTCAAGGATCACATTCGAAAGTCAAAGGCGCATGAAGACGAGTACAAGGTACTTGCCCGCGCTTGCCTCTGTCCCCCCAATGCCTGTTTTATGTTGGCGCTGCCTCTGCTGGCACAGTCACACAACCTTGTTGTGCTCACAACTGGCACTCCTTTGCATGTTGCGTTGCATATGCTGTTCACAACAGACGAGGGACACGTTTGTTTGCGTGAACTGTGACTGTGGCGGGTTTCCGAGCTGCGCACAGCTTGTGGCACATATCCAAAGCAACCATCCTTCATACCATGAAACGGGTGCGTCCTTTGCCGCCTTTGACTGCTCTCGTGTTCTCGTTCATGTCACCCTGGTTTCTGTGTGCTTGTGTGTGTCGGGCCACATACATGCGCATCCGATGCACCCCTCCCACTCATTCACGCCCATCGCTGTGCTTGTGTCAGTGGTGGATATGCGCCATTTCAGAACCCTGAACGCCTTCGCGGCGTGGCTGCTCGATGAACAGGAGACGACATATGCGTCCTACACGAATGAGCCATGGACTGATCTCAAGCGGAGGACACCAACAACCTGGGGTGCGCTGCATTGTTGTTTTAGGGTGCTGTGACCTTCGTTTGCCTGTATCTTGATGTTCCTTTTTTTTTTTTTGTTTCCCCAATGTGCATGCACTCACGTGTTGGATGTATCGGCGTGTACTCGCGGTGAACCGACGCAGAGGCACCAAATCCGTTGGGTACTGTCCAGCTCGGTGTGTCGTGACGCTGCCTGAGTGTGGCCGAGTGCGGGCTGAGCTGTTCAAGGAGCACACTCATAGCCTGAGTGTCCTTGGCATCCCAATACCGGATGAGGTGAGGCTTTGGATCCGGCCAGCACCTCGCTTGCACGGTGGTGTGCTCCTGAATTCACCTGCATGAGCGCGGCACTCCCGTCACTCCTTCTGTGTCTCTGTGCACGTGTGCATGGTTTGATTCGAACAGTTTACAGCCAGCATGCACACCCTCGCCCGAGGGAAGCACGGCGCGGGCTATGCATTAGAAGAAGGCATCACCAACAACCGCAGGACGTGTGTGTACGCGAAAAAACTGTTGCAGCGAGACAGCAACGTCAACGGCAGCAGCGCGCGCACTTCGCCCCACTAATGCTGAGGCGGAAACGCCGCTGAGCCCGACAGCGCAGACCACAGAGGTTCGTTCCGCAAAAACCAACCGCACAAGTGTTACACCCACCTGCACTCTGCACAGAGGTTGTGGTTGATAGACTCGCCACCACACATCGCGCGCACACATACAAACATGAACACACACACACACACACTCTCTCACTCTCTCTCACCCACACACACACACTCTCTCTCACTCTCACGCACACACACACACACTCTCTCTCTCTCTCACCCACACACACACACACACACACACTCTCTCTCTCACCCACACACACACACACACACCCTCTCTCTCACCCGCACACACACACACTCTCTCTCTCACGCAACCAGCACCGCGCCATAACGAGAAGCTGGGCCGCAATCACACCCGGTGGATGAGCAAGGAAGTGATGGTCGTTGTTGGTGTTAGCAAACCGCAGACCCTCGACCGCAGCTACATCAGGTTCGAGCTAGGGTCACGGTGCTTGCGTCATCTCATCAGCCCATGTCTTGTTTTCTGTTTGCCCCCTTGTTCGCGATCGTGGCTGCCTTGTGGTCATCTCCGCCTTAACGTCCAACACATCCATTGCCAGACTTCATGGCAACTAGCTTCTTGACGACAAGCTGGTCAACTTCTGGCTGGTGCGTCTCCAGCGCACGTCTGACTTCGCCACCAGCTCCTACGATGTAGGTGTGTGGCTTGGGCGGGGGGGGCTTGTACTGTCTGGCTCCTGCTTGTGCTTTCATGCGTGCGTGTGTGTGTGTGTGTGTGTGTGTGTGTGTGTGTGTGTGTGTGTGTGTGCCACATGCCCTCGCTTCGTAATATGCAGGTCTTGGCTTCCAACCGACCGCGGTCGCCCACAACTCATCCCATCGACTGTGTCACATTCTGTGTTGGCGGTACAGGGGGTCGACAGCCTGATATGCTGGGCGAAGCGAGAAGCTCCATCCAACAAACGGTTTGGATTATCCCGTAGACATCTGCTGGTGATTCGAGATTGAATCAACGAGGATGGCGAGCCGCGTTGGTTGTCTGTGAGTGGCTTGCCTGTGCGCTGTGCATGACAGCCTGCGCTGCCTCTTGTTGGAGCTTTTCCAATCCACACCCTCACGCTGTGTGTGCGTGTGTGTGTGTGTGTGTGTGTGTGTGTGTGTGTGTGTGTGTGTCTGTGTGTGTGTGTGTGCAGCGCCCAATGGTACCTGGCCATCGTGGGCTTTCTTTTTGAATGAAACCGCCCACCACTGTGGTGAGTAGGGCGGGAGATGTCTTGCCGGCACTGCCACAGCTGGAGTACCTTCCTCTCTCACACGTGAGCCAGCGCGACCAAGTCCCCATTCCTCTTCCATTCACGCCGCTGTATCATGCCAATGACTCAAACAACGATGGCACTGGTAGCGATGATGGTGGTGGTGGTAATGGTAGTTTGGATCACGGCAGCAGCGCTGTGCACGATGGTGCGGTGTCGTCGGGAACAGCGACACCGCCATCAGCGATTTGCAACTCGTCGTCACAGACATCCACGTCGCTTGCACACCTTCCGGCATCGCTCTCCCTGCCACCTCCCCCATCAAACGAGGACACGAATACCACCAGCGCCAGCATTGACAACAGCAGTGGCAACAGCGGTAGCGGTAGTGGTGGGCATGAGGCAAACCAACTGCTGCTGTCGACGGTTGTTGGACAGGCGGAGCAGCGTCTTCCTGTTCGCTCATATTGGCAGACACACGACCACCTGTGGTCCTTCCACGACATCCGCTCTGTCGTCACGTCTGACCTTGCCATCTTTGGCGATGGCGAGAAGCCCGTGCCGGCCATCAGCCTGAAGCTGCGGGAGGACGGACAGTCAATCAACGTGCTCACTGGCATGGATCTCTGGCTGGACAACCTCATGTGCAACGTCCCAGAGATTATGATGTGCTACCACACGGTGCGTGAGTTTGTGTGTGTGTGTGTGTGAGAGAGAGTTTGTGTTCGCTTGTGTGTGTGTATTTGTGTTTGTTTGTTTGTGTGTGTGTGTATGTGTTTATGTGTTTGCTTGTTTTCTGTTTGTTGCTTGCTTGCTTGCTTGCTTGCTTGCGTGTCTGTGTTGCTAATTGTCCCACGCGCGTCCTCATCTTCCACTCCCAACACGCACGCACACACACACACACACACAACCAACACATCATTCACACCCACACACAAATACACAACCAACACATCACGCCCAACCACCACAACACAACACGGCCCAATTACATCCCCCCCCTCCACCGCCAACACAGAACGGTGCTGTGTCACGCTACGAGACAATCACAACAGAGGACCTGCCCGAGATGAGCGGGTTTGATCCAGAGGCCGTTGTGGCCATTGCGCAATCCATGAAGACCTTCCTCAACAAGAACTGCACGGAGGAAGGACACACCTACTGGCTGTACAAGGGCGAGGATGACGACATTGTGCGGCTGTACGACTTCACCGCCCTCATTGAGCAATCGCGGTCCTTGTCCACAGACCCAAACTCAAACGTGACCAACCCGT